GCATGATTTTGTCTTATTTTTGGTTCAATATGTTAAAACTTGTAGGTTCTATTTGGGATATGTAATAAGCACCTAAATACATCATTTGAGACTTATTTGACATGTATGTGATGAGGCCAAGGCCAAAAACCTCATGCTTTACTTTTATACTATTTGTATTATGCTTAAAAATGAGAAAAATTGGAAAATGCGAAACTTTAGTATGACAATTTCAGCTTGGATGATGGGAATTGTGTTTTATCATTTTTCATAGTGTTCTCATATCGTATATGACGTGTGGACATGTGTAATACCCCTAATTTTAAAAGGATAGTCTCGTTATTTATTTATTGGTTTTAATTGAAATTTTGATTTAATTATTTGCTTTTTTGGCTATTTGTTATATGATTAATTGAATTAATTGTTTAAATTAAATTGTGTGTGCTTAAATGTTTTGTTTGAATGAAATTATTTATGATGTGTTTGTTTAATTGGTTTGATTACTTAAGTGTGGTGTTTGTTTAAGTGTAATTATTTGTTAGATTAAATATTTTATTTTATTTTGTTTTATTTTAAAAAGGAGATGGATTTGAATAATAGTAATGGACCAACCCAAAGGGTCACATGGACTACTTAGATAGGAGGTTTGATGGATACGGATATCTACCTATATATGGAAGGTAGTATATATACATATATAAATATATAAGTATATATATGTATATATGGATAAAGTAATATTATTATTCTTAATGGTAATTATAATAATAATATTAGGATGCTTAATATATTTTATATAATTATAAATTGTATTATAGTTATATATAATATATCACGTACATAAACTATGCCTTATGTACATATGTATTATTTATTCTATTATCTTTTTCTTTTAGTAGATGAATTGGTTTTTATATAGGATTAGGGTTGGAATTTAACTTATAAATACATAGTGATAGTCTGCCAATGGGTTTAGAAACCCTATTCACGTATTATTGGTGGTAGAGTAGGTTTGAGAGAAAACAGAGAGTTTTTGAGAGAGAAGAAACTAGAGTTTTGGCTAAGGACTTAAGGCCAGACCAAGGAGGAAGATTGAGGGCTGTTCGGGGGTTAGAACCAGAACAGTAGGAGGCTTTGATAGCAGCCAAGGATTGCTGAAAAAGCTAAAAAGAATAGGTTAAGGTTTCAATCTGAAACCTAGAGGCAAGTTTTACTTCTATCTCCTTCCCTTAGATTTATGTTCTATACATGCCTAGGTAGATTCCAGGATTTAATGGACATTAAATTGATAATGTATGCCTGCTAAATCAGATTAAAACAGGGAGTATATCAATGAAATTTATTTTCTTGAAGTTGATTGTTCTTGCATGAAATCTAGTTTTAATTTGTGATTTAGATGTGTATGGACTTTATATAATTATCTGGGATTGTTGGGACATAGAACGGAGGCTTAGGACCATTAATAGAGGTGATCGGAGAGTCCAAAGGTCACCAGAGACGAGGAAAAAGGAGCAGAGCAGGTCGAGAGCCGGCTCCCAAATGGGGAGAGCTGGCTCCTTTTGTTTTTAGCTCTCTGTGAGGGAGAAAGTCGGCTCCATGGTGAAGGGTGCCGGCTCTATGGTAAGGGGAGCCGATTCCCTTTATGGTAGAGCCTGCTATCATAAATTGAGAGCATGCTTCTTTGCTGGGTTGTTGTACAGAAATGGATTTTGGGTTCTGTTTGGATGTTTTGGGGTTCCAGAACTGATTTGGATTGATTGTGGGGGTTCTAAATGATTTTAAAGACATGTTAAAATCCCATAATGTATAATTTATAATTATATGCTAATGATTGGAACAATATGAAATTTTAAACAAGGTTACATGTTGTTAATGGATGTGGAGAATTTAATTGCTTAAAATTTATTTTAGCAACTTAAATGAATATGATCTGATTTTAATCTTGTATTGGATGCATAATACGCTAATGATTGGAACAATATGAAATTTTAAACAAGTTTACATGTTATTAACAGATGTGGAGAATTTAATTGCTTAAATATTATTTTAGCAACTTAAATGAATATGATCTGATTTTAATTTTGTATTGGATGCATAATATGATCACGTATATAGCTTATTTTTATTATGTTGGTTTATGAAATTAATTGATATTTTATGTTAATTATTTCATCAATTATTGGACTATATGGATGTAATGCACCGGTATGAGACGGTGGCATTCTAGGGACGGATTAACCAAAGAAGTTAAATCCTACCTATTCTTGTATAAGGGAATGAATTAACTATAATGCTAAATCCTACTTATATTCATGTCAGGTCAACGGAACAGTTGGATGACATATCGGATATTTATTTTATATTCTGGATTAGGATGGATTTTATTTATATATAGTTATGAGCCATGATATGAGTTTGAGTCTCAGGATCATGGTTAGGGTGCGTATATTGCCTAGGATGGATAACTAGATATAGTAGACATCTGGGTGACCTGGTAGGTATAGGTACTCATGTCCACTTTATGTGCGATTTGCATGTTGTCTTCTATTCAAGTTGAGACAGACCTATAGTCTAGTGAGCATCCTATAGTGTGTATTTATATATATACGAACTACTAGTTATTGTTGGATTGATAGGATATATACGTGTATCGGATCTCTACTTGGATTGTAGTAGAGTATAATTTATTTGTGGGCCTGACCCACTAGTATTTTTCAGGTGTTCGTCAGGAGTAGAGGTTGTTCGTGCTGAGTAGGGATCAGTCTACTTCACTCTTCCGGATAATTTACATATGAGTTTCCTTTATGTTTCAGTATTATGAGGTAGACAGTTATTACTGTAATTTGTTTAGTTGGGATTTTCTAGGGGTTCACATAATATGGATTCCCAAGTTGTATTACTTTGGAGGGTTAATTGTATCAGAATATTTTTTTATTTATGAAAATTTATTCTAATGTTTCAATTAATGGATTATCATTGTAGCTTCTTTTCAACATTTTATTTCTTCTTACTTATCATATTTGTATTTTGTATTCAATTATTACCATTTGTTTTGGATATCCTCAGGTATTTGGGCATGGGCCTGGCCAACCCGCATCCGGAAATCCGGGGGGTATCACACCATGGGCCAAACAATTCTTTGAATGCATCAATGATGGTTGACTTCAAATTTTGCTTAAAACGGCCATTTTTCATGATTTTGGGGCTTGGACATGTAATATTTTTCATATGGTGTATTTTGTAGCCATGGGCCATTGGGACGCATTTTATTATGTATATTACACTTGTTAGAATGATCACATTGCATAAAACATCATGGTTGTATGTTATAGTTGATGGTATGCTTCAAATTTCCCATTTTAAGGCATTTTTGAAGTTTAATAGGTCGGATTTTGCATTGGGCATAAATTGGGGGTCATGGACCATTCTCACACGCTTCAAAACACTTATTACGTTTGCGTGCACAATCATTTTAGCCCACAACTTCATATTTAGTTATTTGAACACTTGGTTGTTCTTATTTTTACATTTTTCGCAAAATTTGGGTTAGGGGCATTTTGGAATTTTTTCTTCAAAAATAAATTTATGTCTTGACATGGTCACTTAGAAAATGTGATTTTAGGGGAGGGGGGTTTCTTCACAACTTTTTTCCAAAAAATGTTGTCTCACCCTCGAAAACCCCGTGTCAAATATGTTTTTCTGGTGCGCGCACTCTTTAAAAAAAAAATCTGAGGGCATTTCAAATCAAAAATAAAATTTTCTTTCAATATGGTCAGGTTGGAAAAATTATTTTAAGGGGGGTTTCTTTTTCGTGTTTTTCCAAAAAAGGTCGTTTCGAGGTCCAAAGTTATGTTTGAGTCTGAATTTTTTAGACACATAGCAGGTGATAGCAGCCCCTTTGGCCGCCGTGACGTCAATTTTTTTTGTTGGGTCTTTTCTTCCTTGTCCGGGCTTCATTTTGGGTGAACTTTTTTTTGAACTTCGTTAATTTTTCGTTGTCTATCCAATGGTGTACTCCGTAGCACTCATAATTCCCTGAAAATTGTGATTTTGCCCCTAGGGCTAAACTTTTCCCTTTTTAAAATTTCGTTTCCGCATTTTGTTTTCTTTTAAGTTTCGTGACTTCATGGGAAGCTATGTTTGTGTCTTAGGGATGACGTAATCTCTTGAGACTTTGTTTGCATGTGAAATGACCATTTGGCCCTTGGGGCATACTTGGTATATTTTCATCTTTTTGCTTCCGCATTTGTTTTTTTTTTTTTCATTGACTTTATTTTTGTTTTCGCTTTTGCATTTTGGATCCGTTATCGGGTCAACTTTTGGGTCACATTGACTATCAGGATTTGTAAAAATTCGGACTGTCACTTGAGGTCATTATTTCGTTAAAAATTTATTTATGTGTATTGCACATGACATTTTTAAGATATAAAATTTTAAAAATACCTTGTCTATTTCGATAATGTCCTTATATATATATATACACACACCTGTCACGTTTAATTAGTTTTTTACCTATTTTTTATTCAGTTATAGAGAGATAATTTAGTCTTTTCAGCATATAGGTCATTGTTTATACCAAAATTGAATGTTAAGGAGATTTAGAACGTATGGTGAGTTATGTACTTTATATGCATACTAGAAGAGTGTTTTTTGCCCGCAACCCTATATTATATATACATATATATAAAGAGAGACACTTAAGGTATATCATATTTAATTAGTTTTTTTTACTTAATTTTTTTTATTCAATTTCAGATAGACACTCTAGTCTTTTCAACATTCACATCTTTGCTTGCTCTAAAATTGAATGTTAAGCACTTTTTAAAACATACAGGGTTATACACTCTATATACATATTATATAGTATGTTTTTGTTTGGGATCATTTTTTATAATTAAGAAAAAAATGAAATTTTTATTAGTCGGGATATTACATACCGCTACTACCCCGGTATTAATTTTTTTTTTCCCTAACATGAGTGGTGGCTTGTATGTCATTTTCAAACAAATGTGGGTCAACATTTACTTCTCTTCTTTGTTTCCTGCGCTTATCCGAAGGCAATGCTAAACTCTGTATTGGCGGGTTAACCATGACGAAACAATGTTAAAACTCCCGCCAAATTGCAGACTCCCATCCCCTCCACCGCCACTACCGGCTGCTGCCAGTAACCATATATAAATATAACACATTTCTATAAAGTTTGTATTGCTTTTTTTTTTCTTTCTATGTTAACCTTTGCCCTCTCTGCCTCCGCTGTTCTATTTCGAATTCATCACTAGGGTTTTGACTCTTCGATGAGGGTTTTGCAATCTAGGGTTTTGATTGGCCTAACAACAGAAGCAGAGTCTTTCGTTGGTGCGAAACAATGAGTGCTGTCAACATTACGAACGTCACCGTATTGGATAATCCAGCGGCGTTTCTCAACCCTTTTCAATTCGAAATCTCGTATGAGTGCTTGATTCCCCTCAAAGATGGTAAATCTATTTAGCATCTATATTTATATACATACATTTCACATGCGTTTATTTGCATATGTGAGTGTTTTTGGTGATTTAGACGTGTCTCATCATGAAGATGGTCTATATTGTTGTTGGGATTTGATCATTTGAGGCCCAGCTAGGGTTTATTGACTGATAAACCCGTATGTTAATTTGTGGTATAGTTACTGACTTCTGCTTATTATGTATGTGTTAGATTGCGAGGGTAACAAATGTATTAAGCTATCAACTCAATTTAACATATTATCATCCAGGCTCGCTGTTATTGGATTTTTTAGGGTTTGTATCATCATTTGAACTCATGTTTGGTAAATATTATAGAGGAATTGATTTACTAGAGTTTAATTTCAAGGGCCTCTTTTTATAAAATTTATGAACAAGTTCATTTCTTTAAAGATTGAAAAGAAGTTAGGGGACATGTTTATTTTGTGCGAGTTTCGGAAAACGAACTTCAAATGTGGGAAATTAAATAATGTTATTTAATCAGAACTCAGAAGGAAAGAACTTCATAAACAGGAAACAGCATATGGGAAATCCTTTTAACAGGGATGTAGGTTTTCACTCCTTTTATTTATTTATTTATTTTTTGAGTTGTATATGAATAACTATTAGGTCCTAAAAGGCAATCTATGGTGCTCTATGTATTAGAACAATCAGAGTGAGGCTCTTCATGTTATGATTGATGGGTAGTAGGGAAACATTATAGCGGAATTTGTTGAAAAACAATTGGGAAACGCATGATGAATTTACTTGAATTATACGTTTAAGGTTCTTCGTGTTATGACTGATGGGTACTAGGGAAACATCATAGCGGAATTTGTTGAAAATCAATTGGGAAAAAGCACAATGAATTTACTTGAATTATACGTTTAAGTTTAGTGAACATTTTCTTTTGTGATATTGTAGAGGATGGTAGTTTGTATTGATCATACAATTTGGTGGAATCACTTCTTCAATGAGGGCACTGTTTATTTTAGTGGAATATGAAACAAGGAAAAAAACGTCTTTATATGATGATGAGGTCGCCCTTTGTTGAAATTGCGAGAGTTATGAAGATGTTTACTAAAGTATTCACATAACTCGAGCTAAATGAAGCTGGCATGTGATGCATGTCTATTTCTTATATTTTGGAAAGTGGCATCCCAGAAGTTTAAAGGAAGTTATTTTCTACCATTTGATGAAACTTGCCATTGATATTGGTGGGCACTTGTATAGTGACATGAAATAGCATTTAAGAAACACTAGGAGATGTTTTCAGTGATAAGTGTCTGGGAACTGTCCTTAATTAATTTTAGGAGCTTGATATTACAAAATTCTCAGGGTTAACAAGGAAAAAAGGTCTTTTATACCTATATAACTCATATAGTTGGTTAGAAGAAAACACCCATTAGTTTAATGTTGAATTTGTGTCGTAGCTCAAGATTGGACTTTGATAGGCTTGACTTTGAAAGCAGCTAAAATAGTTGGGAGAAGGCATTGAGGAAAAAAGAGTGCTTTCTTTACATGGTAATCTATATTTGTACAGAGAATGTAAACAGCCTATATTGATGTGCTCTAAATTTTGGTAGTAACTCCTTGTTTCTCCCTAACTTTTTATTGTATTTATGGCAATACAAGAATTTGAATTATTTTATTTTATTTTTTATTTTTTTGCTGCACATTCGTTTGTCAATACAGCCAGTTTTAGTTTTTTTGTGAGTTGCACTCATAAAGAAATCTTTTGGAATGTAATAGCAATTTATTTCTAGGAATTTATAGAAATCAGTTTTCTAGGAATTTATAAAAACTGATTTCACAGAGTTTTATACAGTTCATCCATTTCTGGAAATTACAATAAGAAGTTTGTACTACCTTAGGCCATGAATTTTGTTCCTATCATCGCTTTCCTACGGCGTCAACTCACAATCACACCAAATAAAAAGGGGGCGGGGGGGGGGAATGGTTAAAGAATGAGAATTTCTACCTAGAAATATGTGGTTTAAAGAGGGTGTTCCAAATATGAATTTCATAGGGTTGCCAATGCTCATAGAATGTGCATTGATGTGGTTGAAAATATTGAGGGGGAGGATATCAGGATTAGGTTAACAACTTTCTATGAGGAATTGTAATCTTAGTTGAGCAGCTGACGACCAAGATTGGATGGTATGTCTTCTCTTCTATTGATAGTTAGGATAGAGATGAAGATACTATTTACAGAGAAGGGGTGGAACCGTTGAGGTAACCCTAAGTCTCTCTTGGTGTTAAAGACCATAAAGCCAGATGGATCAATATTATTGTAAGAAATATTGGATTATAGTTATATTGGACAGTGTGGTTTGATGCATAGTTTTCATGTGAACGTAAAAGAAGCCTGAATAGAGGCAAAAGAAAGAGTATTTCTGCAATGGAGGAAGGTCAACTTTAACTAGAGTACCTTATTCACTTGTGAAAAAAAAAAAAAAAAAAAAAAAAAAAATTATGACAGTACCTTATTCAGTCTATTTTGTGTCCTTTACTATCCTTGTGCCCGTGCTAGAGGCTGGTGAAGTTGTAGGAAGATTTCATTAGGGAGGTATGGGGTAATAGACAAGTATCATCTTCTTAATTGAAAAATGGTTTGTTCACAATTTCGGCAGGAGGCTTAGGTACAGTAGACTTGGAAAGTTCAACAAGGCTTTGCTGTGGAAGTGGTTGTGGAGATATGCCGTGGAATGAGATTCCCGTTGGAGGAGAGTGGTGACAAATAAATATGAAGAGGGTGGGTGAAAATAATGGATCATTATGGAGTTGTGTGTGGTCTGTATGTGTTTCTGGAAGGTTAGTGGGAAAGGTTGGAAGATGTATTTTAAACAAATTCAGTTTGCAGTGAGGAAGAAGGGAATGGGGTGGGGTTTTTGAATGGCTTATTGCGTGGGACAATATATGAAAGCTTCCTTCCACAATTGTTTAGGATTGTGCTTGATAGTGAAGAAGTTTCATTGGTTGAGATCTTGAGGCACGGTCGTGGTAATGAGAATTGGGACGATCTTTTTTTTTTTTTTTTTTTAAATTTTTAAATGACTTTTGAAATTGATGCTATGGTGGAGTTATTTGACATCTTTTATGCTTTGGGGAAGGGGGGTAGTGGAGAATGAGGTTTGTTTGAACTTGGAAAGCCTCGGACCGGAAATTTTCTGGTTGTCATATGATGATGCTTTTGTATTTGTGGCCTATTCTAGTTTAGGTCTTATTATGTTGTGTAAGTGGGATTTTGGAGATCCTCTTTTAGTGTTAAGAAATTTGGAAGGTCAAGGCTCTGTTAGAGGTGGATTCTTTTGGGTGGTCAGCGGCTTAGGAAGATCTTGACAGTTGACAATTTGATTATTAGGGGAAAATGCATCCCCCTATATAGTTTGAGTTGGCTAGGAATTGGTAATTTTTTTGGTTTTGCCATGCTAGGCTTTACGTGGATCTTCCAATAAGTAGTTATTTCATAGTCTGGAAGGGAGTACTGTAGAACAAGGTGGATGAGGGTTTGCGTTGCGGCTCCTATATTCATTTTGTGCTGTCCACTGGGGAGCAGAATTAGCCTTCTATAGAGGATTAGAGGGGTTGAATAGTTACTACAGAGATGTATAGTTGGCCTTCTGCACATCAAGTACACGGGTTGCACCTATTTTAGTGCCTTGTTAGTAGAACCTTCTGTTTATAAAAGGAATAATAATAACTGGAAACTTAAACCAATAAGAGAAACAACAAAGATATTTTCATGAAGTTCACCTGGATAAAATTCTTTCTACTATCTTATCTTCAGCAGAAACTAAGTTTCCCTTGTTTATTAATATTCATGCACATTATTCTAACTATTTCACGTTTTCAATTTCAACAAAATTAATGAAAAGGTTGAATTTCATTTCACGTGCATCATGTCTGGCATTGTTTTGTGCTTAAATGTTTGGCAAATATGAGTGTGATGTTACCATGTTTACGTTTATAGGGGCATTAATGTGCTGATGATATTAAAGAGAATGCCAGATTCTGCTTTGGTTGAATTGATTCTTGCAGTGTTACATAGTATTATTGCCAGATTCCGCTTTGGTTGAATTGGTTCTTGCAGTGTTACATAGTATTATCCTTGCAATGATTTAACCCTTTATTGCAGATTTGGAGTGGAAACTCATTTATGTTGGATCTGCTGAGGATGAGACATATGACCAACTCTTAGAAAGTGTGCTTGTTGGGCCTGTTAATGTTGGCAACTATCGTTTTGTCTTTCAGGTAGATTTCTACATCGACTTGGTTGCTTTCTATTGGCTTGCATTTATGGATCGAGCACCAATGCCTTTCTTGTTGATTTATTTGCAGGCAGACCCTCCAGACCCATCAAAAATCCGTGAAGAGGATATTATTGGTGTCACCGTACTGCTACTGACTTGCTCTTATCTGGGACAAGAATTTGTTCGGGTAGGATATTATGTGAACAATGATTATGATGATGAACAGTTACGAGAGGAGCCTCCCCAGAAGGTGTTGGTTGATAGGGTTCAAAGAAATATTTTGGCTGACAAACCGAGAGTAACAAAGTTCCCAATAAATTTTCATCCTGAAAACAATGAGCATGGAGAACAGCCCCCCCCTTCCCCTGACCGTGCTACCGAAACAAACGAATATGGAGATGAACCAGCTCCCTCACCTGATCACCCATCTGATGTGCAGCCTCCGTAAACCCCAAGAATCAAGTAATCGCATGATTAGCTTAGTACTTTTCTTTCTAGTTGAAGTTTTGGTGCAATGGTGATTTTGGTTGGAATTATTTTGCCAGGTTTTAGAATTGTTCATCTAAGTATGCTGCGACTGTTTTATATTGTAAGGACATTCATTGAAATGTGCAGGGGGTATGCTAGGCAGTTGAAGTTTTCTGTATCCCACCCTCTGATTTTAGGGACTTTGCTTATGTTGGTTTAAAATTTGTAACTTCATAAATTATTTACTGTAACAACTATTATCTTATCATGCTCAATCTGTAGTTGTTCCCTTGGGCTTGTTGGCCTTTACCATTGCAGTCAGTTAGCACGGTAAATGTTACTCTTATTTCCCAATTCAAGTTTGTTATTTATTGGGGGTTGTGTATTAGATTTTCAATTCTTTTGGTTTTCCTATATGTCTCAATTCTTTGTGTGCGCTTGTGTAAATGGTATTTGACGATTATGTTTATCCTAACATATATGTTGCTTAAAAGAAACAAAACTTGCAAAAAAAATGCTGTGAGGTGGCAAGTGTTGTATTACTACCAGGTCCATTTGACAGAGCTGTATAGAAAGAGATGACAAAATTCCAGAATAATCCTTTGTTCTGCTCCTTCATATAGTAGCAGGTAGTTGAGGAGTCCATGGTGCATGGTTGAAAAAATCAAACGTCCACAATCTATGAAGTTTGACACATGAAAAGTGAACGTGAACATAGTTTCTGCAGCTGTAAATAGATGAAACATACTGTTTGGTTTGTCACTCAAAAACTCGTATAAACTGAATTTTTAAAAGACAATTTTGAAAAACAAGCAAATTCTTATACAGTTTTTTTGAAACTCACAAAACAGAAATGGTACAAAAGAAAACTGAAGTAAGGGTAATACTTGGGCCAACCTTGCAATGTCCTAGTATGACATGTCTTTGTTTTAGGAGAGAGAGGGAATCTGCAGCGCACCATACACAAGGTAACATGACAAAGATATGCGACGACATATGTCAATGTAAATATCATATTAGGAGTGGTTCCCACCAGTCTACTGTTTTAGTTTTCCCATTATCTTCGGAATCTTAGGATTAGAAACATCTGTACCAGGACCATTATGTGTACCTCAGTGGCTGAATCTAGATTATGTGAGTTCTATACATTGGTATCTCACTACTATCATTTTGTCCTTTTGCTATGAGTTAAAATTTTTAAAAACTCTTTTTTAAGGGTCAATACTATATTATTTTACATTTCATATTCGATCAATTTACATTGATATTTATTCGAATCTGTTACACCTGTAATTGCGAATCATGCATCTATCTATCATGCGTAAATACTTATAGAAAAAGTTATTGCAAAGTCACATGTAAATATTTATAGGTGAAGTTATTGCACAGTCCCAAATCAAAGCCAATCACCATTAAATATTTAAGTAATTGTGTTAGAAACATGTAGATTTCTTTCAGTTTTTTTACTTTGTCCAATGGTGATCAGTCCGGACCATCTAAAATTTCTCATATTTGTGGATGTTTGATTGGAAAAGGGAAGAACTAATAATGGAGAAGGGAACAAGTATTAGTGGAAGAGCCACCAGACTCTCAAGACAAAAAGAATCTGCTTGCATGATTCAATTTTGATTCTTGAACAAATCCACAATTTTTTCTCTTTTCTTTTTACATTTGATTTGTAAACGGAGCCAATTGAATATTAGATTTGTGAAGGCGTTTCTAATCAAACCCAAAGTGGACTAGAAAATATGGGAACAGAGAGCTATGTTGTTTGTCCATTAATGGGCTTCCCATCGATAGGAAACTTTGTTCCTAACAACTTTTGGCTGCTCCCATTTCCTGGCAATATAGAGAAAAACCGGGGTGAAGTGACAAACATGCCCCCGAGTACCCTTTGGAAATCGTCTGTTCTATCTGGGGCAAGTGAGGGTACAAATATCGTAGTGGACTTAGTACATGCCATTGACAACCTAATACGTGTCCTCTTTATTTATTTAATTTTTTTTATTATTTATATTTATATTTTTATTATGAGAAATCAGACAAAGACAAAGACAGTCTTCAAACTTCATACTTCAAACCGGTAATACTATACTAAAATAGTCCATGAAGTCTGTGTCTTTCTCTCTCCTCTGAATCCAATATCAAAAGGATCCGAGGCGGTTCAAAAGAATTTGCTCTGTAGTCTGTAGAGAGAGAGAGAGCATGGAAGAGAGTTTGCTATTGAAAGATAAGGAGGAGGAAAAGAAGAGAGAGGTGGGTGGGCTAAGTACTCCAACATGGACTGTGTTTGGTCAGGAGGTGAAGAAGTTGGGTTACATAGCAGGACCCATGGTGGCTGTCACTCTATCACAGTACTTGTTGCAAGTTATATCGGTGATGATGGTCGGTCACCTCGGCGAACTTTCTCTCTCTAGCACCGCCATCGCCATCTCCCTCTCTGGTGTCACTGGCTTCAGTCTTCTTGTAAGTCTCTCCATCTATATCTATATCTATATCTATATTTCGTTCCTTTTTTTAACTTGTTATTTAATCATAGTACACATAAATATGTTGCAAATGAAGTGTTAATTTTCAGATTAAACCATGTTACAGGGGATACTGTCTGTGTGTGGAGGATCTGTGTATTAGTTCTAGTTTTGGTATCAAATTGTCTTTGGAGGGCTTGCTCCAATAATGGTCTTGAATTGAAATAGATTGGTGACACTTAATTTTAGTAACCAAAAGCATATTAGTTAATCAATTTATGTCCACTTAATTTGCTTCCACCACTAATCTATCTGCTTTATGTCTGTTAATCAATTCATTTCTATTAAACACACTTAATTAACACCCACCAGGAAATAAAAAATTATATGCTTTAGCCAAATACACTCGATAATCAATAATTACAAGTACATCAACCATGCACTAAAATATTATCTGCTTTAGCCAAATACACTCGATAATCAATAATTACAAGTACATATCCGAACTGTTTAGGGTGAGCTACGTATATTTTTTGTTGTGGTTTGTGATTGAGCTTCTTCTTGCTGGTAATTATTGTTATTTGCTTCCGTTGTGCAGCCAACACGGACTAAAAGTTAAGTATTAGAGGAGAGATGACTTGTAATGAAAAGGACTGAAAAATGACTGAAAAATGACGTTTCATGTGTGATGTGGCCGACCCATTCATAATGAAGAAGGCAAGTAGGGAAGGTGTGGTCCAAAGCCAAAATAGAGACACTAGTGTACATGTTTATGAATCTGTATTTCTCTGCTGTTAGTATAATTCTGACAAATTGTTGCGCGAATATATACAGTAGGGTCCATGATGTTTATGAATTCTCAATTGTTTGCATGTGCTGTCTTAATTCAACTTTTATTTATAAAATTACCTCTCCGTCGGTCTACATACAATCAGGATTTCTCAAGGTATTCATGACATGAACGATGATTGTTACTCATTCAATTCACTCGAACATATTACTTGCTCAACTATGGAAATGATGAACAAACTTCTGTATCCATACTTGTATAAAAAAAATGAAATGTAAGAGAAGAAGATATTATATAGGATTTGCAAGAAATAGTGGTAATTTAATATAGTTCGGCCTTGAGTTTTTTTTTTTTTTTTTTTTTTTTTTTTTTTTTTTTTTTTTTTTTTTTTCTTTCACAACTAACTAGATTCTGTACTTTCCAAACAGTTAGGAATGGCTAGTGCGTTGGAAACTTTGTGTGGGCAAGCTTATGGTGCTCTGCAATACCAAAAACTGGGTACTCAAACTTACACCGCCATTTTCTCTCTCGTCATCGTTTGTATCCCTCTCAGTGTCATATGGATATATATGGGAAAAATACTAAGTTTCATAGGCCAAGACCCTCTGATTTCCCACGAAGCCGGAAAATTCACAATGTGGCTTGTTCCTGCCCTTTTCGCTTATGCAACTCTTCAACCAGTTGTTCGGTATTTTCAAACGCAGAGTTTGGTACTTCCTATGCTGTTAACCTCATGTGTCATTCTTTGTTTTCATATACCTCTTTGTTGGGTGCTAGTATTCAAGTCCGGGTTAGAAAACCTTGGAGCAGCACTAGCAATTAGTATTTCGTATTGGTTAAACGTGATCGTCCTTGGATTATACATGAAGTTCTCGTCTGCCTGTGAAAAAACCCTCGCCCCATTTTCAATGGAGGTGTTCCAAGGAATTGGAGAATTCTTTCGCTTTGCTGTTCCCTCTGCTGTCATGGTTTGGTAATTTCTCTTCGGTTTTTCTGTTTTTTTCTGCCATGTCCTTAGAAGAATTTCAATATATATATATATATATATATATGCTAAAATGATAGTATTCATTAATGCGTTTTTCTTGATTGTTGTAGTCTTGAGTGGTGGTCATTTGAGCTGCTTATCTTGTTCTCTGGGCTCTTGCCTCATCCCCAACTCGAAGCTTCAGTATTGTCTGTATGGTATGTCTGTGTCGGCTTATTTGATTCTGAACAATCTGGATATCCTTGAAATACAAGATGGTGATTCTAATTTCTTCTGGTTTTTTTGTGAACAGTCTTTCAACCATATCTACACTCTATACAATACCATATGGACTTGGTGCTGCTGTTAGGTTAGCTTGAAACCTAATGTATAAATCTTTGTGCATATGTTATATACTAGCTAGGATGTCGGTTCATCTGCTCACTGGTGTGGAAATAATTTATTCACGAATTAAATCCTCACGATTGGATACACAAACTTAAATTGCTTTTTTTTAACTATACAATGAAATCTAAAGGTTAATATTTGAAGTCTGCATACATCACGTTATGTGTGTAGTACGAGTTCTGGTGTTGTGACTTTATTTCTTTTCAGCACTAGAGTTTCAAATGAGTTGGGAGCTGGGAACCCACAAGGGGCTCGTGTGGCCGTCTTTGCTGTGATGTTCCTTGCAGTCGCGGAGACAACCATAGTAACTGCAACGCTTTTTGCCAGCAGGCGTGCTTTCGGATACACTTTCAGCAATGAGAAGGAAGTCGTGGATTACGTCACAACCATGGCTCCTTTGGTTTGTCTGTCTGTAATAATGGACAGCCTACAAGGGGTCCTTTCAGGTTATATATTTTCCTTCTAGCTACGTATAATCTCTATTGAAGGAAAAAAAAAAAAAAAACCTTTTTTGATGCATAATGCTACATTTTGTTTATTCAAATCAGGTGTTGCTAGGGGATGTGGGTTGCAGCATTTAGGAGCTTATGTAAACCTTGGGGCCTTCTATCTTTTTGGAATTCCTATTGCTGCCATATTGGGTTTCTGGTTAGAGTTAAGAGGAAAAGGCCTCTGGATTGGGATACAAGCTGGTTCTATTCTACAAACAATTCTGCTGGCTGTAGTAACAAGTTGTACAAATTGGGAGAAACAGGTGCTCCCTCCAAGTCTCCATCTTACATATATTTTTTTTAAATTATATTATTTTTTTTATCATGACAAGTAACACGCTGCCACTTGCTTCTTTGTGTTTCGTTTGGTTGGAGGGATGAAAAAGTAGATGGAAGAGAAAGGAGGAAGGATGGATGAGGAATTCCTAAGGAAGGGAAATATCTCCCCATTTTTTGTTTGGTTGAATGAAATGAATAGTAGAAATAATAGTTGAGATGATAATTTTTTTTATTTGGTTGGAAGCGAGGGAAAGAGAGTTTTTATATATTTTATATTAATATACCTTGGTGTAGAAAATAATAAAAGGTAGAAATTCATTTGAATTTTTTTGAAAAGGTTAAAATTGAAAATTGTATTAGTGTAGATAGTTATTCGGTTTCTCTCTCCTCCCTTTTGCCCAAAATTGGGCTCCCTCCTTGCTTCCTCGCTATCTTCCCTTCCCTCTAACTAAATACGAAAAGATTCATTCATCCATCTTCTCATCCATCCCTCCAACTAAATATAGCACAATGCGAAATTAAACCTAGAAAAAGAAGGAGATCAAACACATACACAACAAGAACACAGATTTATTTGGTTCACTCAAAATTTAGAGTTACGTCTAAGGTTTGTAGGGATTTCACTATGATAATCAAAACAATAGAGTTCCGAATGAATAAATACTTTTACACTAGGGTAACATAACAAGTACAAAAATTATCAAAATATCTCTCAAAAAATTCGCGGAGTTGGGCCTTGATGTACAGTATTAATTAGGCACCACCCCATCAAACTCCCGACGTCTACCGCCAAGCCACAACCTTTGGTCCATTGTATTTATCTCAAAGCCTTATTTGCAACTATCGAGTTTCAGCTAGGTTATTTAATTGGTCCATGTTACCTAATAGTGTTTTCTGTGGTGAAATTTTGTTTTGCAGGCAACAAAGGCAAGGGAGAGAATGTTTGAGGGAAGATCTTCATCAGATAATTGTTCAATTTGAATGAGCAAAGATTTTCAATAACTAGTGTTGCAGTTCTACAAGACAGTTACTACTAATTGTATATATATTCTTTTTTTTTGGGAAGCAGTCTTGTCTAATTGTATGATTGTATCTATAAGTTTGTCCTATAAAAGAAAATTGCATATTCAACTCTAATAATGCCAAATATCCATTACAAACACACCACGTAATGTAACTAAGTTGTAAGTTATAACTATTTTTTATTTTTTATGGTTCATAATGGCTAATTGCCTTGAACTCTAATGGACTGTTAAATGGATTGTTAATCTCAAAATATAGCAGGTGGCTTTAACACGGGTTGTTAAATGGGCTGCCAAAATATAGTTTTGCCAAATCTTGTGCCAAATATAGTACAAATTATAACTATAGCTATTGAAATATATGGATTTTGAACTTCGGATTCTTGTAGATTTTTGTAGTTTGGTATTGTGCTTGTGTATATATATATGTCACTGTTGGTATATATGTGTGTATATATACGTCTGTGTTTATATATATGTGTGTGTGTGTGTGTGTGTGTGTGTGTGTCTGTGTCTGTTAATTCAAAAGTTGCATAAATTTCAAGACTCTGTTGGATTTGATACTTATTTTCTATTTATTTATTTTTAATAGGGCAAATAAGCTAACAAAAAAAAAAAAAAAAAATGGTTGTTGAAAATTGATAGTTGGGAATGGTAGTTGAAAAATAATGGTAGTTGTATTCAAAAATAGCATTTTGATGAAATGCACTATTGGAGCAGAATTGTTAAAATATAACATTTTGACATTGTAGCTCCTCTAAAAATATAGATTTAGCATGCAAAAATGATATTTTGCATTGGAGACGGTATCACAAAATCGTGTGTACATTCTTTTATTTGAAACAATCACTACCAAATTTTATAATTTAGTAATATCTCATTCATTTTAAGGTAAAGATATAAAAGATAAGAAGGTTTGAATATTCCAAAGAGTATTGTGAGAATTTTTAGCTAAGACCTAAAAAGATTAAAGTCTAAGGAGGACGAAGGATCAAAAAAAAAAAAAAAAACAACCTTAGATCCAAATATACTAAGAGACTTTTGTAAAGAAAATAATAATAGTTTATAATTTTTAAAATTTTATTTTCACAATTACTGTAATGTTTTCAATTTTCGTCATTTTCTACTTTTGGAATTTTCCGTTGTTGCAAGGGCATTTTCGTCTTTTTCTTGTTTTACGTGCCGGACATCGTGGGGTGTGCCGGGTGTGTCCGAGAGTTGGTTGGGATATTTCTTTGAGTTCAAGATTCTTAGAAATGTAATGGTTGCCATTTCGGCATTTTTCCGTTTTTCGGGTCGGACGGTCCCAGGTGGGATCCGCTACTGGAATTGTTGTGCATGCTAGTTGTGTCTCGGGTCATTTGCATGCCATGCATAATTATTATGTGCTAAAGTAAATTGTTCAAATGCTTAATTGTGTGGTTGTAGTAAATTAAAAACATGTATATGAAATTGTGGTAGAAAATTTAAAGGAGAAAGATAATTGAAAGTGGTGGGACCCACCACTACCATTTTTTTGCCAAGAGACCACAATTGGTTTCATTTATCTCTCTCCTCGTAAGTTCTCTCTCTCCCTCATATTTCTCATGTTTTTCTTTTTCTTTTGTTCTTAATCTTCAATCTCTACTTACTTTCTCAATTTTGAGAATTTTTGGGTGCTGTTTGCGGCAAGACGAAGGGCTCATCGAGATCTTCAGTCTGATAGGAGCAATTCACACTTTTGGCCACCCTAGGATTTTCGAAATTAGGGCTTTGATTTGGAGTTTTGGGGGTTTTCATCTCCATTGAGGTAGAAGTGTTCTAATGCATGATTTCTTGTACTTTTGTGAGTTTTATAACTTGAATTGATGCCTAGCATGTTCATTGGAATAAGTTCTTGTAAAAATTATTTAAATGATAGGTATGGAATATATGTGACTAACTGTTAGTTGTTTTATAGTGTTTAAGCATGCTTACATGAAGTTGAATCCATGTCTTATATACTTGTTATGCAAAGTTAATATTAATTGAGAACTTTAGTTATGTAGTTTAGAAATTTCCTTTGTATAACATGTGTGAGAGTTTTATGGTGGAATTGATGAATTGAAGTATGAAACATTTCATGCATTCATTGGGAAGGAAAAAGGGGAAAATTGTTTTTTTTTTTTTTTTTTTTGTTTTTTTTTTTAAATAAGTGAAATTGTTCTGGGAAAAGTTTTCTAAAAGTGTTTGGGAAAACACGGATGCCTAGGAGGCGCCTAGTGGTCCGTGGTGTTAGCGTTGTCTAGAAGGGAGTATGGTTGAGCTAACTAGGCCGGATGCGATGCCTTAGAGGTGCCTTGTGGTCGTGGATGGTTAGCCAATCCTCCTTTCGTGACGCCTTGGAGGTGCCTTAGGTCGGATTACACTAACGGTTTGGAAGTTGAAATGGAAATGTTTCGGATATGGGGAGCAACATTGCACGACATTACATTTCATTAGAATATATGGTATGTATGTGTTTGGGTGACAATTGTTATATATTTGTCGTTGTAGTTGTTGCTGTGTACCCTTATGTTATGATCCCGTTTTCTTTTACTTGTTCCTTACGTGGATTCACGGGGTTATAAGAAGTATGCTTTAGACACTTCCTACTGAATGTTTAGCTTACCCCATTATTTTAATATTTTCAGGTTCGGGAAAAGAAGTGGCGGACGACAATCCACCACAGCTGTAATACCTCTAATTTTAAAAGGATATTTCTGGTATTCTGGTATTTAATTTTTGATTTAATTGTCATTTTATTTGATTAATTGTTTACTTGTTTATGGTGTTGATTAAATGGCATATATTTTGTTTGATTATTAATTATTTATTTGTTAATTCTTTGCTTAATTGTTAATTATTTATTTATTAATTCTTTGCTTAATTGTTAATTATTAATTATTTGTTAAGGGTTGTTTTATTTATTTATTTATTTGATTTATTGTTATTATATTTCTTGTACTTATAAACTTACGTAAGTTCATATAGCCGACACTGTTTTAAACCTAGGTTGTTCAATGAGCCGAGTGAATCGTATTAGGGTTTAATTGAGCCTAGGGTTAGAGTGGTTTATAAATACTCATCTGAGGGGTCTGTCTAGGGTTTTAGAATACCATTACGACACAGTAAGGTTGTGAGAAGTTTTGGAGACGGCTGGGAGGAAACAGAGAGATAAACTAAGGTTTCGCCGGAGAATTTAGAAGGGAAAAGGCTAAAGGCAAGTTCTAACTTCATCTCTTTCCCTTTTACTCATGTTCTTTGCATGCCTAAGTAGTTCCAGGAAATCAATAAACGGAATAAAATTGACTCTGCATATTTAGAACTCATATTAACAGTATGTACTGAAACGTGTTACCAACTGTATATTCTATTTTCAATTGTGCAATTGTTCTTTTAATTAACTGTTAATCAATGTATGAAGGGGGTAGATGGGTTTCTCTGGGTAGGTTTGAACACAAATAAAGGTGTTAGAAGCTGTAACAGAGAGGGACATAAGTAGTGCAGGCAAACGGAGAGGAAACAAACGAATAGAGGAGAGAGAGAAGTGGAGGCGGCTCCAAAGGACCATGGAGCCAGCTCTACATGGTGTGGAGCCGGCTCTACCATGGTCTAGAGCTGGCTCAAGCATGGTGGAGGAGGCTCCACCTTGTGGGAGCCTACTCTCCTCGTGTGTTTTCAGTTTTGTGAGTTTTGAGAGTTCTGGGACTGGTTTTGGTATGACAGAGGTGTTTAGGAGCTGTGGATGGGACTTGGGGTTAATGAGTGAAATTAATTTAAGTCTTCAAAGGGGCTTGTTAATGCATATTCAACCAATCAGTGTTGTGGTTTGGAACAGTATAGAAATTCTAAGCAAACTAGTAAACTGTTTTGGAGGCTTAGGAACTAAACCACCTAATCTTAGTTGTAGCAGTTTATTTGGGAATGGAGTTAGGCTCTATTCGTGTTTCTATGATGGACTATAAGCATGTGGGACTAAAGAATGAATTACATGCCTGTAATAGACGGAAGGTGTGCACTTACATTAACTGTGTTGTTCACACCTGAACAACGGTGGAGTAGCATAGGATAAGTATATAAGTTTGTAAAACAAAAACTGTCATGCTTACTTGGACTTATTTAAAGGTTATAAATATATGATCTGTATTAATGGAACTGGGTGAAGTAGTGATAAATAAGCTTGTTAAATAACAAAGATTTAACATGCATAATGTGAGGCAGTTGATGTTTATAATTGAATGTTTGACTGTTAATTGCTGGATATACTATGGAGTTGATAATTACATTTATTATTTGTATGATCAACTGTGGATGTTGGATTATTGTTGAATAGACTATATAGTTGATAATTACATTTATTACCTGTGTTGTCAACTGTGGATGTTGGATTACATGCACCGGTATGGGACGGTGGCATGCCTAGGTTTGGATTAGTTTTAAAATACTAAATCCTACCTACACGGAATAAGGGAATGGATGTTATAATAAATCCTACTTATAATGGAGTTAAAGAAGCTGCATAAGCTGAATGACTACTCGGATTACTCGTAAGTTATGTTAAGTCAAAGAAGCTGCACAAGCTGAATAACTAACTGGACTTTGTATGGATAGGACGGACCTTAAATATATATGTTATGGTACTGCGATCTGAGCTTGAGTCTCAGAGTCGTCGGTTAGGGAGCGTATATGCAATAGGATGCGTAGCTGGATATGAGAGGTTGAGGTATACCCTGTTAGGTCTAGGTACTCATGCCCACCCTTGGGTGCGTTTTCGCATGTTGCCTTCTATTCAAGTTGAGACCCTCTATAGTCCAGTGAGAATCCTGTAGTGTGAATATGCTTATGTAAGGACTATTAGCTATTGCTGAACTGCTTAGGATGTATATGCGTATCGAGCATCTGCTTGGATTGTAGAAGGTTAGAACTTGTTCGTGGGCCTGACCCACTTCTATTTTTCAGGTACACGACAGTTCCAGACTTAGAAGTGTTCGTGCTGAGCAGAGGTTTCTATTCACTCTTCCGACGATATATGATTCTCTCCAT